AATTACTAACAGTTTGTATTTTCAAGCTTAAAATATATAAAAAGAATCATTTTCTCAAGAAATTCATATTTGTATAAATGAAAATGAATGGTACAATGAACAAGAAATGCTTTAGTAGATTGAGAATGTATAAATGCACTTGTTAATCTAAAGTTTTTATTAGTTATAGATTCTTTTCACAGACATCTTGTAGAATCAGTTAAAAATAGATTTATTAAGAAACAAACCAATATTGTAGCATTTCTGGTGGTCTTACAAGTAAATTATAACTTTTAGATGTGGCTATTAATAAAAGCTTTAAAGCAAAATTAAGATATTACTATAATAAATAGATGAATTTTAAAATTAGTGAATTAGAAGGATTAAATGATCTTCTTATGCTATTTTAGCTGAATAGATAAAATAATTATGGATTAATATAGATATTTTTTTAATTCAAAGACTTTCAAATAGTATGGAATTTCTGTTGCTAGAAGTGAAAGTGAGGATAATTTGATATTTGATTATAATAGATTGCTTAATAATATAAAAAAGAAAAGTGAATAAGATAAAGTTCAGGATATTAAAAATAGCAATAATAATATTAATAATAATAATAGTGATAATAGTGATAGTAATAAAAATAATGATAATAATAGTAACAATAGTGGTAGTGATGATGAAAAAAGTGATATTAATGAGTCTGACATAAATGAATATAAAAACTAGAAGCTTCTAATTATAAAAATAAATATTAAATTGAAAATAAATAATAAATTTGATTATTCTTAATAATTTATTATAAATAAATAAATGTGTAGTTATTACTACAGTAATTTGCAATCTTTTTTTAATGTATTCATAGTATAATATTCCTTATAATAAAATATTTTCTATAGTATAATATCTCTAAATACTATATAAATTAATTAAAAATAATTAGTGGTCTTTATGTATAGTATTCAGATAGTTTACAATAAAGTTATGAGTATAGTATTATATACTAGAAAATATTATAATCTACTGTTTACAGTATCTTTTATATATGTTCAAATAGCCAAAAATTATAGGCATAATTTGTTTTATATCCCACTTTACCATTATGAACTTCAACCAATTGAGGAAGTTTGATTAATTGTAAAAGATATGGTTTTTAGAATTGATTCCTATCCCAATCTTCTTACTATTAGAGACAAATTATTACATGCTTTTAAAAAAGATATTAATTCTAAAGTTATTATTAGATTTTAAAATAAATGTTTTATAAAGATTTTAAAATTGAAGAAATTGATGATTAGTAAAATTTTTTATATACTTTAAAATTTTAATAAAATTTATATTGCATATATCTTAAAACTTAAACTATAAATTAAATAATTTAAATATTTATATTAATTTTAAAAAAAATATTTTTATAAATATTGATATATCAATCTTTTTACATTAGATTATATTTTATTGTTAATAAAGTTTTACAATTACCTTATTTATAAAAAATTTGATAATATAAATAAATAAAATAAGAAATATAAAACTATATACTTGATTATTAATATTATTAATATTCAATTATTAATTAAAAAGAAATGTCTAGTAATTTCTATGTTTTTGTATAACTTTTACTTCTGATATATCTGATATTTCTTATATATCTGCTATATATAGTTTTATTATATTATATCAAATTTTTATTAAATTAAATTTAATTATAAAAATTTTATTTAGCAAGTTGATTACTAAAAAACTGACATTAGATTCCAATTCTTCTCAGTGCAGCGATTTCAATAAGCTAAAATTCATCATAATCAAGTTGATAGATTAGTGAAAAATCAATCTATAGAATCACATTACAATATAAAAAATTTGGTTTTATTACAGTATAATTTTATAAATTGATTTTTTATGATCTATTGATCTGATTTGAACAATTTTTTAGCTTATTAAAATCACTGCATTGAAAAGAGTATCATTAGCTAGTCTTTAAAATAAATTTTATATGCTTAAATTTTATTAACTAATAACATTTGATATAGATTATTAAATTACATAAAATTGGTATTAATAATCACACTTCAAATTTTTTATTGGATATACTCTAAGGTTTAAGGATTAAAATAAATATAAAATCATATTTCTAGCATTCATGATTGATGAATTATAAGCTTTTAAAGACAAGTAATTATACTTGTATTTGAATTTACTTTTGCTAATTTTTTCAATAATACATGTTGGCCAATGGATCCAATGGATCATTTAGCTATTGAAGTTCAATGGATCCAATCCATTCCCAACCCTGTATTAAATTTATCTACCAGTTCATTTTTAGCTGTCAAAATTATTAGCGTCTCCCGATTTATTTCCCGAAAATTGTCTATCAATTGTACTGCATAACGCACTGTTAATATTTTTTGCTAATGTACTTCGACGTTCTTCTTTCTCTTGTGCAGACAAACTCGCTTAGCTCCGGATGTATTATTTTCTCATAGGATGTTAAAGGCAATTTTCGGAGAAGTGGTGCATTAACAAGAGGTAAAAGGTCGCTCACTCAAAAGTCCGCTTTTTGGATATTTATAGGGAATAGAAATGAAAGTGACTATCCAAAAATAAAGCCAAAACGCGTTCACTTGCGTTGACCAAAAATTTATCATGACTCACTACTGGTAGCAACAGGAGTTTAACAATAAGAAAAAGCGCAAGATTAAGTAAGTATTCGGTATTATTGGCAAATAAGACAGAAAAAGACGAAAAAAATGAGAAATTTACCAACAACCGGTGCTATATTTTCATTTCATTTGTTTTAGAAACTCTCTTCCTCTTCTGTAACATGCAAGAATGTGAGTAAAGATCCTTAACATAAGGAATGTGCATAGACTATTCCTTCCAGAATCAGCAGAAGTTAATCAAAGAATCCCACAGTTAGATAGATGCACGTTGCAGAGGTGACAGACTCGCTGGCACAGGGCGTAGCACACTCTGTGCAAATTAATATTATTATATTTTGAGAACGTAAAAAATACTAACCTTTAATTCGCGCTTTAATGCTCACTCGCCTTCTGCCTCTTCAATAACTTCGACATTATTTCTTTTTGGCGGGACTTTCCTTGCCTGTGCCTTTTTTTGGGATCCCTATAATATTATGTGAAGTGCGGTGTGTGAGTAAAGAATCCACCATAGGGAAGGAATGAATAGCCGATATCTTATCTGAAATCAATATACCTTAATAAAAAATCTTAGCAGCAAGACGTGCCCGATACGGCACTAACGTGACTGAACGCTCTTCCCCGTGTACGCAAACACAGAGCGTAGTACACCTTTACTATTCTCGTTAGCATTTTCACATTTTGGAAACGTAAAAATACTAACCTTCAATTGATATTTTAAGTTGGATATTTTTCGACCCTCCTTCGAATTTCGTTTCACATGCTTTTCCAGCGCTTTTATCTATTTTCTAAGAGCACGACGTAACGATTCTTTTCGCTTTTTTGGATGATAGACGAGTAAATTCGTTATATCACGTGATGATTAAATCAAATGTCGATCTTTTGTATATTGCGGATATTTTTCATTATCAATACGATAGTTCGTTCTTTTCTTTACATTTGGGTAAAAAATGGTCTGGTGATCTCGGTTTTAGCGAAACTTAGATGAAAGCCGAAGTTTTAAGGCTTTTATTAATTAATATATGGAGACATGGCATTCTGGCAAAATAGAATAATTAACTGTACAAGTTGATACTATTTTTTTGTGTATATTTATGTTGTACTAAACATAAGGTTAAATCAAAACTTGGGTTAAATAAATAAATAATTTTAGTATTTATTGGATTCATCTCGAACAAATTTTTTTTTAAATGATGGAAAATCTCTCCTCTCATAAAACCGAATCAATCTTGACAACAAATTCGCTAGAACTAGATGATGATAGTTTAAATTCATTTTACATAGGAATGAAATCCGATCCACCAATAAATCAAAATATGATTATGGAATTAGAAAAACAAGCTCAAGGTATTTCTAATGAATTAGAAACCATGCTACGTAACTTACAATCTCAAATGTTTGAGGTAAAGCTTTTTTGTTTAGTTTTTACATTTAAATAATATATAATTTCAAGAAAATTTTAAATAAAAATTTAGGCATCGGTTTTAACTACAGCTTCCTTTGAAGTTTACAGGCAAACCGTTGAAAATCATTGTATGGTTATTAATGATGCTACAAAAAAATCCAATGAATTAATTGAATTGTGTGTAAGAATTGATAAAGAATTTTCTCATGTACAAACCTTGGCAAATCAAATGTAAGTATTACCCTTTTATATAAATATTCTCTGACTCTCTCTTTATTAATAAATAGATTTTCTCAGTAAATGTATTAAACATCAAGTTGACGCTCTTCATTCTGCTCTCGGAAGATGATCTTAAGGGTTTATATAATCAGAATTAATCACGATAATATTAATTAGTTGTCAATGATATGAGCTGAGGTCGTAGGTTTCCGCGACATCGATGGAATAAATCAAGTATAGAAACAAATAAGTTGTTGCTTAATAAACGAAATCCTTTATTCGATTTGAATGTATTAAGTTTCTTTAATCTTTCAATACAAATAATAAAATAAGAAAAACTATTAACTAAAATAAATACATTTTTTTTTTTTTTTTTTTTTGGAATTTAATGTTCCAAAATCATAATACAATATTATTATATATATGATAAAAAAAAAAAAAGATAACCAAACGGGGCGATTAAAGAAAATATTCTTCAATATTATTTTTTGGGGGGAATTTTTTTTAATTATACAAAATTTTCACAGACTAAACATGACATCTCAAATGTACGCTGGAATATTACATCAAGTAAGATAGGGTGAAGTATATATATATATATATAAATTATTAAAATAAACAGATAAAGTGTAAAGGAAAAAAAAGGAGAATTTTAATATCTCCTGATATTACATTATATTTCTTCAGTATTTCTTCTATATCCTTAATTACACACATGATATATTATAAAATTAAAATTAAGATTGACTAATTAATTTTTCTTGATATTGATGAATCAGCTTGATCAACCGATCATTTTCCTCCTTTAACGTCTCGTTCTCCTTACCGAGTTCCTCAATCTTTTGCTGATAGTTAGAATAAATAGGTTGATTAGAAAAATAAATATTTGAGAAATAAATTTATTTAAAGCGATAAATCTTACGTCTTGTTTTTCAGCATCTGCTTCAAGCCATGCGGTTTCCATGGTTCGTGAACTTATTTCTTTAGAAAGTTCATCTATTTTTGCATTATGGGCTTGATGCAATTCTTCAAGATCTGTACAATTTCCGTCCTTTAATTTCAACAATAAAAATATTCAAACAAACCATTAATCAAAATGCCAGTCATTCAATCATAATAATCCAAATAAAAAAGAATCTTACTGATAATTTCGATTTGATCTCTTTTTCTTTGCTTTCAAAAAGGATTCGAAATTGTTCATCTTGTTTAGCAAGGCTTTGTTCGTACTCTTTCTTCACATTGTCCATTTCAAGTTCGTGATTCTAATTATTGTATTATTATTATTATGTTAATAAATTAATTTAACAACGTGCAACAGCAAATTATAAAATAAAGTAATAATTCAAACCTCGTTGATCACTTTCATTTCGGTTTCTTGACCCTCAATTTGTTTTTTGTAAGATGCAACTTTATCACGCAATTCATTAAGTTCGCAAGAAGTCTCGGATAGTAATCTTTCCAATTCATTTTGATGTTCAATTTTCAATAACTAAAAAAATTGAACCATTTTAATATAATACTCCAAAGAAAACTACAATAAGATATTAAATAACATACCTCTAATGCCTCAACTTTAGCTTCGGCTTCCTCTCGTTTTTTTGTAGATTCTTTAATCATTAATTCCATTTCACTTTGAACTTTTGCCATTTCTGACGATAAAGCTGCTTCTTTCTCTTTTGTTTCTTTCTCAATAGCATTGATCGTGTCTTGTATGTCTTTGCTATGGGATTCTTTAAGCTCTTTAATACTCTGGAGCCGATTTGAAGTGATTTTTGCAATTTCTTCCTCAAGTTCTTTTTTTGTTTTTTGTAATTCTTCAGCATGGATACCTTTTAATTTTTGTAATTCTTTATCATGATCTGCATTCAGTTTGTCGATTACGGAAGCTTCAACATGAGTACTTTTTGATTCATCAAGTTCTTGAGCATGACGATTTTTCATTTCCTCGAGATGAGTTTTATGACGAGATTCTAATTCTTTAACGGTAGCTTTGAGTTGAGCGATTTCATTTTCGTATTCACTATGATTTTGTGGGGTGGCTTTGAGTGCCGCTATTTCGGCCTCATATTTTTGAATTTCTTGAACATGGTTATTCTTAAGATCCTCAATGGCCTGAGAATGTTGAGATTTATGAGAAGCCATTTCTTGGATTATTGCATCACGCCTAGCTGTAATAGTATTCAACTCTTTCAAGTGAGTTTTCTCAAGGAGTTCAATTTTTTTATTGAGATCATACTATAGGAAAAAAAAAAGAATAAACCATATTAGCAAAGTTATAAACATAGTAATAGTCAAATGGGAATACCTTGATACCTGAATTTCGTTCTTGGCTTTCTCTATCGCTCCATCGTGCTCATTATTAAGTTTTTGTAAAGTTTGAGAATGTTTATCCTCAATTTTCTTTACTTCATCCGAATGTTTGATCTTTAATGCTTCAACAGCAACGGCAGTTCCTCCTTGAGCAGATTCCAAAGTTGCCGTAAATTCATTCTTTGCATGCTCTCTAACTTGTTCGAGAGCAAGTTCATGCTGTGTATTTAACTCCTTCAATTGCTCACTATGACTCTTTTTGACATCCTATGAATGGAGGACAACCTAGTAAATAAATTTTCTTCGTTATATAAATATTCGTGAAGATAACTAACCTCCAATTCAGATCTTGAGTTTTTAAGTTCTTTAGCAATAGCTTCACCGCCTTCAACTTTTAGAACTAAATCTGCAAGTTCTGAATCATGGCTACCTTTAAGAGTCTTGATTATTTTAGTGTGATCCTCTTCAAGTTGCGCCAATTTTACTTCTCGATCATTTTTGAGTTTCTAATTTAGAATAAAATAAAATTTACGATTATTATAACACTATCCATCATAATCATACCAGTAAAAAATATAAACCGCTACGCACCTCAATTTCTTCGTTTAAAGATTTAATATTCTCTTTTAAAGATGCAATCTCTTCACGAAGTCTAGCAATTTCGGCTTCTTTGGCAAGAATTGCTACATCTTTTTCGATTACCTTTTGAGTTTCTTCTTCATGAGCCTTTTTTAACTCTTCCAAATGATGATCTTGTTGTTCAACAGATTCACTAGTACTATCATGTCCCTTTTCTAATTTAGCTTTTAAAGCATCTAGTTCTTCTTGCCTTGACTTTATGATATTATCTTTTTCTTCAAGAAGTCGTGTAAGTTCTTCGGTCTATTAAATAAGAAATATAAAAAAAAATTGTTAATCGACGTTAACTGCCGCAGATATATTATAATTGAATAAGAATGCGGATATGCAGATGTCAAACAAACCTTCTCTTTAAGACTAACATCAATGGAAGAAGCAACCTTAGCTACAGCACCAACACCATTAGTCTTTGCAGAAACACCGTTAGTCTTGGTAGAAGTCGTTTTTGCAGATGTAGTAGTGGCAGGGGGGGCAGCTTTTGCTTTTGTGGTTTTAGAAGATGTTGAAGCGGTTGTCTTTTTTGTCGAACCTCCAACACTACTAGTAGTTGTTGTTGTTGTATTAAGCGATGGTTTTCGAGCAAGTCCTGGAGCAGTAGGTTTTGTCGAAGAGGTTTTGGCGGTAGTAGTCTTCGAAGCGTGACTCTTTGTGGTCAAACCAGAATTAGTTTTAGATGATGTTGACATTTTAGCCGTGGTAGGACTGCTGGGAATTTTAGGGGTCAATGGAGTTCTCGAATTACTAGAAGTACTAGAGGAGCGCGTTCCTGGTGCTTTGGATAATGGTGGAGGAGGATTGGATTTACTGATGGATGAACTACGTGCACGTGTCGGTTTAGCAGTAGTTGTAGTAGTTGTAGTAGTTGTAGCGGTTGCATTTTGTTTTTTAACAGCACCAGGTTTTGAATTAGAAGCAGTTTTTGCGATTTTACTAGTGATAACTTTAGTAGTAATCTTTTTTTCCGACTTTTCTTTTTCCTTTTCATCGGTTGGACTTTTTGGAGGAGTCAGAGGATCTGCGGGATCAGATTTTGTTTCCGTAGCATTCGATTCACCGGATAACGAAACATTTTCGTGTTGAGTTTCAGACTCGTGGTGATTCTCTGATTCATAATCGCACATTGATTGCGGTTGAGACTGAGATTCTATAACTTTATCAGTTTGCTCGGAATCAGTTTTTTCAGTTTCTTTATCAACCTCGGAAGGTTGAGTTCGTTCGGTATCTACAATAATTTTAATATTTTCAACCAAGGTTTCGCCTTTACCAGTAGTTTCAGAATGTTTAGTTACTTCATGATGTGAACTAAATTCTTCCACTTGCTCTGCCTGTGAGGGAAGATCGGAAGTTTCAACATTTTGATGCTGTTGTTGTTTTTCATCTTTTGAAACTTGGGTTTCATCGATTTCTTCTTCAACAGTATCCAAGTGTTCAGAGTGTTCCAAGTGAACAACTTCTTCGATAACTTCAGTATATTCGACCACTTCGGTAGTTTCTTCCAATCCAACCGAGTTACCCATTGTAGCAATAGTGGTGGCCATGTTATTAATTTAAAATCTAAGTGAGAAGAACAAAAATGTTACCTTTAAATATAAATATGATATGCATAAACAATACAAATGTGAGGCGCGTGTTTTCTTAAATAAAGCAATCAATACACCAGGGTATCGAAAGAACCAATAAACGAAGGAAAGGGGAAATAGTGTTGTGTATTTTACAGTATTATGTTGTGTTTGATATATTGTGCGTATATTATAGGTGTGGGAACTTGGAATGTTTGTTCCGCAGTAACCAACGAAATAGCGTACAAGCAGATGAAAAAAACGCGACTCATTTTGATTATTAAAAAAAAAAGGTGACAACACTTACATGAAAAGATTTATGAAACTCTTTATAATTTTTTTAGATAAAAAGAAGGAAAGGTTTTTTTTTTATATGATAATAATAAATTGGAGTTTAAAATATATATCGTTATCTCGTTTATTTTTTTTTTTAAATTTTTTTTCTTTAAGTTGTTTGCTTCCAAACGAAGCACACAAAAGGGAAGATAATGGAATGAAAACAGAATAAAATATAAATTGATATAAAAGGGGATGATAAAATAAGAAAAAAAATTAAGAAAATAAAACCAAGTTTAGACTTAACAGAAAGTTTATTTATTTATTATTGTAAAAAAAAAGAATATTTAAACTCGATAAGGATGATTAATCAATCAAATCAACACATCTGCTGATGGTGGGCAAAAAAAAGGGTTCAATTGTGTAAAACGGAGGTAATTAATAAACAAAAAATTGTAGATAGGCAAGTAGGGATCCTTTTTAAGGAATTCCTAAAACTTACTTTTTAACTTTTTTTTTTCTCTTTGAAGGGAATAAATTAACCGTGATTAAGAATAAGAAAACTTGTATTAAAACCTGAAGGTATGATTCTGTGTCACTGTAAATTTTTTCACTTGTTAGAAATTTTTAAAGCAGCGAATAAAAAGATGCAGGACTATTTTTTTTTTTTTTTTTTTTTTTTGTTAATCTATAAGATCAACCGCACTCAAAAGCAAGATTATGCTTTGCATATTCTCGAAGCTGTTTGAATTCAGCCTTATAAAGGCGCCTAAAATTTAGACATTGTAAATTTTCTTCAACCGGTTAGCGGATTTTATTTGGGTATGTTGAACCAAAGGGATCTACAAATTAAAGTTAAACATGGGAACTTCATGGGGTCGTTATAATTTCTTGTGTGAAAAAATTATATAACTTCAACCTAATAAAGCAATTTGTATAACTTCCCCGAAATTCAATGAGAATGATGGAGTATTATCACTGTTCTCTTTTTTTAACACTAACTTAATTTCGTTAAAATTTTCATCCAATCCGATCGGAAAGTCCAAAAAGAAAAAAAAATTTTTTGATTTGTAAATAAAAACTCACCTAAATAAGGTAATTTCAAATTTCTTATTAAGATCACAAGTGTGTACAAACAGTGTCACATTGAAAGGAGAAAACAATCTGTATTTAATATATTCATTCCCACTTTTTTCATGTCATTCTAACCACCTGAACTAATATTTCCGCCTAACATGACACCCACATCTCCTTGGTTTAAAATACCTTTGTTTGTAACCTAAATTAACTTTATAATATTTCAATTAATCCTTTTAAGTATTTCTACAAATAAATAATTCTTTTCTTCAAGCACGAAGCATTTCGTTTCATTACCAACCCATGAATTTCTATTTTGAGTCAGTAATAAGTATATCTTTATTCATTTGACGAAATTATACGTTTATGTGCATTATCAAGGCACGATCTGCATAATTTCTTACAATCACGTGTAACTCCATTTACGTTACATAAATTACATTACTTAATTAAATGTCACCTCTTAAATGTTCCGGAATTAATTGAGTGGAAGGATTCTTTGAAATTTGAAACATAACTTTCATTTAATGATTTTAAAACGATCGATGATATGGCTTATTAATTATGATAATTTTTTTTTGCAGTATTAATTTTCCCTTCCTAAATGAAAGATTTGCAACCGGATTTTAGAATTTTTAATCTAATAATAATATCAATAAAATGGGATCGATCGATAATTAGATTTTACAATAACGAATGCATCGAGAAAAGGATTTTAAAAAATTTTGGAGTTATTTAATTTTAAAAAAAATAAATAAATAAAAATTAAAGTTTGTTAAAGGGTAAAAAAATAAAAATAAAATAATTTAAAATGTTTTTATAATTTCAATGAAAAAATATTTTTATTTTGATTGTACTGTTGTTCAATTAAAGAATGCATGTACTATTCGTTGGTAATTAAAAGCTGCATGCATAAGAAATATCGATATTTCTGAAAACTCTGATTTACCCGGAGTAAATATCCCACCCGATGAATATTTCGATATCACAGGCTGAGTAAACCATCCCTTTAAAAGGCGTCATTCACACGCTCTATCACACATGACAAATTGAACTCAAAGGCATATTCATCAGCTGACCCTGCGACAATATTAATGCAGTATTATTGTTATTTGTTTTAATAAATATTGGAATCGATAACGGAAAAATTAATTATTGAATGTACACTACAAGGTATTATTTACAAAGGAAGGTTGTTAAAGATGTACGTGTAAAATGGTAGATATTACATTATCAGTCCTCTAGTCAATCGAATAAAAGAAAGAAAAAAAGAATAATATAATTTTCATAAAAAGATTCAACGTAAATCCCCCCATCATTTTGTATAAAAGTTTTTCCTAATTATTTTTTTTTAATAAAGGAAATTTATGATGCTGGGGTAAAAAAATTCTCATGATTCAATGTTGGACGAAAATAAGGTTCTCACGATCAACCCGTCGTCTGCAAAAAATTATAAATAATATACATGTTACAGTTGCCAAAAAAATTTAGTGCTTTAGTAATGTATAAATTCACATCTAATTTTCGATCTTTTTTTTTAAATAATTTTCATTCTTCAAATCCTTCACGAATAATTCTTTCTAGTAAGAATTTCTTAAATTTGAATAAACGTTATTTCGCAATGTCCACCAACGCTACTCTCGGTACTTTTAGTTTGCCCGAAACCCTTAATGAACCTATGGTGATTTATCATTATTATTATAAAGTCGAATTTTTTTTCCTTTATTTTTTATCCGGATTGATTATAAAAAGATTCTTTTTTTTTTATCAGAGGAATTATGAACCGGGTAGTTCGGACCGTGAAAACCTTATTGCTGCTTTGGAAGAATTCAAAGCTCAGGCACCCATTGAAATTCCCATACTCGTTAACGGGGAAAAGGTACCGTTTTTGTTTTTAACCTGGCATATTATGTTATCCTAAATATATATATATATATTTCGATGCCTTCTTATCAATCAAATACTTTCCTTTCTCGTCCTCCATTCAAAAAAAAAAGATTCATACTGGTAAAATTCAAGAACAAAGAATACCATCAGATCATCAAACGATTTTAGCTAAAGCTTACGAGGCAGATTCTTCAATCGTTAAAAAAGCAATTGAAGGAGCATTAGCTATAAAATCAACTTGGGAAACATATCCATTTAACGAAAGATCAACCATTTTTTTAAAAGCGGCAGATTTAGCGGCAGGAAAATATAGATATAAATTATTGGCTGCTACAATGCTTGGACAAGGAAAAAATACTTGGCAAGCTGAAATCGATTCCGCCGCTGAATTGATTGATTTTTGGAGATTTAATAATAAATATGCTTATGAAATTTATCAACAACAACCTTCTAAACATGCTTCTGGCGTTTGGAATCGTGTTGAATATCGTCCTTTAGAAGGGTTCGTTTACGCTATCACACCCTTTAATTTTACTGCTATTGCTGGTAATTTGCCAAGTGTCCCTGTTTTAATGGGTAATGTAGTACTTTGGAAACCTTCTCCAAGTTCTTTACTATCTAATTGGGTTATAATGGAAATTTTAAGAGAAGCTGGTTTACCTGATGGTGTAATCCAATTTATACCTGGTCCTGCTGAAGAAATTACTGATGTGATTTTAAAATCTCCCGATTTCGCTTCTTTGCATTTTACCGGATCCACTCATGTTTTTAAAAATTTGTGGAAAGCCATTGGAAACAATATCGACATATATAAATCTTATCCCAGAATCGTGGGTGAAACCGGTGGCAAAAATTTTCATATGGTACACAAGTCTGCTGATGTACCGAATGCTGTAAATCAGACAATTCGCGGTGCTTTCGAGTATCAGGGTCAGAAATGTTCTGCATGTTCTCGAGCTTATATACCTGATACCTTATGGGATGAATTTCGACAGCTTTTGCTACAATACCATTCCAAAATTAATGTCGGTTCTCCAGAAGACTTTTCCAATTTCATGGGAGCGGTCATGTAAGTTATCCGCCTATGGTAATATGCTTCAAAGCCTTTTTGAAAAGATAAAATAAAATAAAAAATAATAATGAATAAATGCAAAACTTAATTCAAAACTTCTAAATTGTAGACATGAAGCATCTTTTGAAAAGATTAAAGGTTACATTGATTGGGCAGCTAAAGACGCTGATAGTGAAATAATCGCTGGCGGTACTTATGATAAATCAAAAGGTTATTTCGTTCAACCAACTATTATCGTCACCAAGAATCCAAAAAGCAGGACAATGGTTGAAGAAATTTTCGGGTATGCTAATTTAAAGTATAAGCAAATTAATAAGTCAATTTTGTGGTAACTTAGAATTTTATCTTTTTGTTTTAGACCTGTGCTCACTATTTACGTGTAAGTAAATATTTAATTCTGGTAGATCCGACAAGAATTTTTTTTGCTTTAAAAAACTTACTAATCTACTTTTTTTTTATATGCTATCTAGGTATAAAGCTGATGAATACGAGAAAGTTCTTGAATTGGCTAATGATACGTCTTCCTACGCTTTAACTGGCGCCGTGTAAGTTGATAATATATAAAAGCCTTAAATCAGTAAATAATGAATTCTTAATAATAAAATTTTCTTTTATTAGTTTTGCACAAGATCGATCCGCGATTATGCTCGCTGACAGCAAATTACGACATGCATCTGGTAACTTCTACATTAATGATAAATCAACTGGAGCTATTGTAGGTCAGCAACCTTTCGGTGGCTCACGTTCTTCTGGAACAAATGATAAAGGAGGAAGTGCAACCCTGGTAATATATTATATTTTAAAAATCTCAATACTTTTTTAATATAATTATTAACTATTAATCCTTTCATTTAATTAATTATAGCTATATCGATTTATATCTATGCGCACTATCAAAGAGAATTTTGTTAACATTCAAGATTATTTATACAAATCAAATCTTGTTTAAAAACTTCAATCTTGTTTACAAAGACCTATTTTGGGTTTGAATTATTAAATTTTGTTATAGATTTTATTTAGTCTGAATAGTCCATAAAAATAAGAAATCGAAATATTTTATTTATATATATACTTTTTTTTTTTTTTAGCCTTTTATGCTTTACTTATTGATTCAAACGCGTCAAATACGCTTAGACGATTTAATCATCAGAGTAGACTAAAAACTCACGGGTTCCTGTGTAATTAGTTGCAAAAGATTTACCATCTCCTGAAGGTTGCGAGAACGCTACTTCACTAGGCTTGATTTCACAACCATAAATAAAATTTTTCCTAACATTCAGAGGGAATTAATATATGTCTTATTTAATAAAAGAAATTTTCATTTATACAATACCTGACATGATCCAATAGTTTTGACGCAACTTTTTTCCTCCGGTAATCTTTTTTAACCCATAAGCGACTAATTCCACAAAAAGCACGAATAGGATTTGTACTATCAAGAAAATTTCTTTAATAAATTATTTTTTATTGCCGTGAAATAAGGTCTGAAATCAATTCTTACCAACAGAAAATTCCTGACCCAACATCAGTTTCATTATGCATATTAGAATCTTTACTGGATTCATTTTGAACTTTGTCATTTGAAGAATTTACAACTACTTTATAGGCTTTCTCAATCTGAATGGCCAAAGCAAATCCAACAATGTCATACTTATTAGCAATATAAAAGTACGCTTTGCTCGTATTCAACTTTTCCTCAGTTAACATTACTGCACCAAGTTCCAAATTGACCCATTCAATAGTGTTCTTAATCTGAAAAAAAAAAGTCAATTAATAAAAAATCTCGCCTAAATTTAACAATCAGTTTAACATTTAAATTACTTTATGTCTTTCAAAATAATGTGATTGATTATAAACAAGCAACACAACACGATCGTTGGCTTCAGCAATTGATTCCAATGTAATTTCATCTTGATAACCCTGTAAATAGAAATGACATTCAATTAAATTAATAAAATATTAATAATAATAATAATACATAATTAATATTTACATGATATTTAATTCCTTCAAGAGTTAAACGATGAAAGTTAGTATGTAATGTTTCATCAACTAACACTCCTCGAACGTACGACATTTGACATTCTGGACATGTGTATGCACCAAAATCCTTTTGTCCAATATCAAGGTAAGTTTGTTCATAACTTTTAACGCGTTTTTTTGATGGTGATGATGAAGTCACATTATTTTCAGTATTCTCATCATAAATTCTTTTATTAAATCTCGGAATAGTAGCATATTTTTTCTTCTTTTTACGTTGATTGCTATTTAATTCAACTGATGCAGGTTTAAAAAAATCTCCTATAGATTTTTGTTTTACTATTATCCCAGATTTTCTTTCTTGTTTTACATTTCCCATATAAGAATCATTAAATTCAACGGCAGGTAATATAGATCCAGTTGTAACACGTCTTTTAGGCCTTATGAACTGTGCTCCTATTTCAATACACTCATCATTTAGCTCAACAGCCGAGAATCTGTCAGTAATATCGCGCTTTTTAGATTGTATCATCTGTTCATCAAATTCTATGCGCTCATTTAAGGTATTTTCCTTATTAAAGTAACTTCCAATGTTGGTCACGTCTCTAAGTAATCCTCCATTATCAAACAATGAATTGTCTCGTAAAGGACTATATTACAATTAAATGTATTATTTTAATGTTATAAACACGTAAAAATTTTATATTAAAGTGATTTTATACCTTAAAGTTGATAAATCTGTTATATCTTTACGTTTACCATAAGTCACTTTTACCTCAGGCTTTCTATATATTGTTTGCAAAAAAATTAATGTACAATAATCATTAATTGAGAACACCAAAGTAATTACCTTGTGAGTGCCATTCTTTAAAGTCTCGTTATATTATCTAGTAATATTATTTTTTCGCAAGAGTATTTTTCTGTTTATCTAATTAAAGCGAATGAAATGATTTTTTTGAATTCTCATTTTTATATCTAATTTTATAACTTTATATTCTTTGGTTTGCACGTGATTTCATACCAAAGACGCGTAAAAAAAAAGTTTTTTTCCGCGCTTATTAGGTTACACGGAAATCCTACGTGTTAGAGGACCTGTTGAACCGCAGTTACAGTAATTTCATGTTATTTAAAGAGTATAATATAATACTTTTCTTGACCAAGAATCCTATTAATGTGAGACACTCTTGAACATTTATTTAATTGGACATATATACTTATATATGTCCAATTGGATATCATATACGTCCGAATCCAACACTGGATGTAATGGTAGGTATATTTAAGTTTATATATATTATCATATTTTATTATGAGCAATTTTCTTAATATTAGTATGTTCACATAGTTAATCCTCATGGACGAATATTTTGCGAGAACTACGTGTGAAACCTGGATGATTGAACATTGCGTTCAGTTATAAAGATCTATGGTGGATCTAATGATCGGACTATGACAGTATGTCTAGCTAACTTTTATAGTCTTGTCTAATAATTTCATATTAGGCCTTGCCATACTCACTTTTAGCAGTTCCACCAACAGGGCCATTGACTACATCAATTTTAATCTCATAAATTTTTTGATCAAAACTTCGATAGTAATATATTTTTCATCCCATATCACACACTTTCCCCATTTCCATAATGTCTTATACTATACGTGAAGCCCGTATTCGCTTCGGACATTGGATCATACAATATGATTTGGGAGCTCGTGCACTATCTGATTCGTTCGGTTCGGGCTCCAGATATTATAGGTGAGTATGCTTAAGGATGCAGGATTTTATCGCATCCAATATAGTGTATAACGTCACAGGACTTCATACAAACAATATTATTTTATTTTTTTATCTTTAACCGCAACGCTATTTTTACTTATACAAGCTAATCAACACCTATAGATTCGCTTGTGTCTCGAACAACATCTCTATCATATAATCCCAACTATCATTTCGACAATTAATTATGTTGACAATCAGTAATTCATCATCTTATATTCGTTTAATGCTAAAGAATATGTTGGGATTTTATCATCTGAAGGTAGTACATTTTGCATTATCACAATGTGTAAAGACCAAATTTATATCAATAAAAATAATAGTCAGAGAGGTACCATCAAAAAAGCTCAGGTCATGTGATTATATCTGTATAATGTCGAGATTTTTTGTGGGGGCTTCTTTTATGGATAAGTTACACCAATTTTATAAATTACTTCCCCATAAATTTTTTTTTTTCATCTTTCTAAAATATTCTCTTACCCACGTATCCATCTTTAAGCCTTTAACAGCACTTTTTTATACTCTTTTTGAACTTCTTTAAATTCTTTCATCTCTTTCAACTCGTCCTTAACTTCGTATTGCGATCGTTAACTTTAAGTGAAAAAAAAATATATCGTGGCTTTAAGATGATGGATAATAAAGTTATAAAAAAATGTCTGCTTTTGACGGTCATCAAGTAAGTTTCATTTAATTTCATACTGAAATATATTATGAGTCTAGAAGAGTACTTGTTTCTTGGTGAGATTATCCTCTTGACTTGCTTTTATAATTCTCCGACATTTTTTCAATTTGAAGTAAAATGTACTTGTAACATTCAAAAAAACAACTTTCATTTCTTTCACATGCGGAGTATTTGGTTTTATTTAAATTTACCTAACAAATTTTATTTTATTTTATTTTTTACAAAAAGGTTATCACCACAAGAATTATTAATCTATGTCCAAGAGAAACTCGCCCCGAAGGAGATACTCGACCCGAAGGCGATAAATTTTTTATTTTTAAATTTTATAATGCTCGTGCTAGCTATTGGCAAGTCTCGTTCAATTATGGCTGGTAGCATACATCACTAATACAAAAAAGAAAAAGGTTTAAGGCGAAAAGAGTGATGTTTACAGTGTTGGTCTCTTATGGGAGATATCAAATGGTCGTGCTCCTTTTTATTGTGAAGGTGGACAATACGACATTTAGTTTGGAAAGGTTTAGGTGTAGAAGAGTAAATACTCAAAAGGAAAATGTGTCATTATACACGAATTCTTCTAATATTGAAAATGTTCAAAATGATAGTGATAAAGAAAATGAAAACGTTGACAATATTATAGATCAGTATACCAACATTCCAAATCATAATGATGATCATCATTTTGCTTAATTTCAATAATGTAATAACCAGCAATCCTAGAAATTCTGTACCATAATTGATTGAATAAAAAAAATGAGCGAGAAAAGTCTCTCTCTCGCAATAATGGTTTTGCTTAAATTTATTTTTAACTAACGTTACTTGTAATAAAATCATTGAATCGTAACCCATTTTCGGACTGTACAAAAAAAGAGAAGATTAAGTTTCAGACTCGGAGAGGCTTTGGTGCTTTGATGAGAAAATTGAAAAGAACTGGTTTAAATTCGAAAATATTTGGTTTCAACACTTTTGTCGGGCAATGATAAGTTATCATCGAAAAAGTAAAACCACAACAATTATGGAAATCAATATTCATGATTAAATATATAATCATTTTTTATATAATAGATTTTAAAACTGAAATTTTATGGGGGGTCTTATTTTACACACATTCTCAACACCTATTTTATATAGGGTTGGTAAAAGTCCTAATTGGTCCTAATTAATTTTAAAAAAATTATTAGTTTTAAAGATTAAATTTTTTTAAATATTATTATTATA